TAATCGCGTGCGAAGTAGTAGGGCCGAGGGCCAGTCATAACCAGCCGGGTTTATCTATATAAACGCGTAGTTATGCTGGAAAAAAAAAAGAGACTGGAGAAAATTCTTGAAGAGAGAAGAGAGAATTGGCCCGGGCAAGCGTTGGGAGGAGGAACGCCATTATAACTTTAAGCCCCGCACAAAAATCTTTATCCCTCCATCGCAAGAGTCATATATCGTTCTGAGACGATTTAACAACAAGTTAATCACGTACACTCTCTCTCGCTGTCTAGAATCCAATGTATGAGTTTTTACGTTAAATACTTTTCTTTTCTGTAACCGGTTTCTTTTCACTACTATTTTTATCTGCTATATAAAAGACATTAACAATTCAACCATTGAATGGTTGTTTGTCCGGCTTTCTGCAGATATTAATTTTTTTTTGCTGCATTCTAAATTTCTTAGCACAGACTCCCCAGCCGTGTCTACATCTTCAGTCGACCATGAATGGACGGACATCACTTCTGCTTTCTGGATCAAACAAATCACAACGTGGGCAGGAAGCAGGATTAAACCAGCGGACCGGTCGAATAATCTACGGATGCTCAGGGGACCTATGGCCGCTCCCTTAAGTTCGGTTAGGACCAAGTAGACACCTCAACCCAGAGAGTAAGACGCCAGTGGTTGAGGGACTGGGACGAAAGTGTTAGACGATTGCATCTAGCTATTTCAACAGTAAAACGATTGCATCTAGCTATTTCAACAGTAAAAAAACCTAGTCACCAATCAAGTAGTGCGGTTGAGCTCCCAAGGAGGAGAGTTCATTAGAACAATTACAATGAAAATATTTAGAGAGAAGACAGAGGGAGGCAACATCATGGCGGTGGGAAGGTGAAAAAAGTCAAGATGTCAGGTCAAGATCGGAAACATGACAGAACCTTCTTTGGATTTTGTCGAGAATCTTGAGATATATAGAAGGAACACAAGACCAAATATGGCAGCAATATTCAATGCACGAACGAATGGTAGATTTATGAATGTTCAAGATGGATTCTGACGAGAAAAAACTAGCTGGCATGACACAGTGAACCAACATTCTTAACAGCAGATCTAACAGTTGATTCAATATAATCGCACCACTTTATGTATGTAGAAAACGTGAGACCAAGAAGGCGCAATTAGTTGCTATCCTAGAGGTTAACATCAGCCATGTTGACGGAGGGCAAAATGATGCTTAAAGGATAAGTGTATTGTTTTGGAGGCTGTTGTAACCTAGACAGGGTTACTGAATGAGGAATAGCCAAAACGGAGGTTGGAAATGAAATAGTAATCTTTATAACATCAACAAAATACAATACTCGCCAGCGGCGTGAAGTAGGTAAGCCACTGCTAGTCATGGACTACTTAGATAGCATATTATCCACACTTACAACAGTGTCCAATGTATTTATGAGGATTGGGACATACCCATTAGTGTTCATAGGTACGGTATAGAACACTATCTATCTATCTATCTATCTATCTATCTATCTATCTATCTATCTATCTGTTGTAACCTAGGAAGGGTTGCGGAATGAGGAATAACCAAAACAGAGGTTGGAAATGAAATGGTAATATTTATAACATCAACAAAATGCAATACTCGCCATCTGCGTGAAGTAGGTAAACCACTGCTAGTCATGGACTATTTAGACGGCATATTACTCCCACTTACAATAGTGTCCAACGTATTTATTAGGATCGGACATATCCATTAGTGTTCATAGGTACGGTATATAACAGAAACATGAAAACTTACAAGCCACTTCTTGCCTCAATCAATAGAATCTCGAGAAAAGTTAGGATATGTTTTTGTCTGCTATATATATCCAAAATGGCCGCTATGTATATGCAAATTATTTATGTACTAAAATATGCCTTTACCTGTCATTTAAAAGCATAATTAGTTAAAAAAAAATGTTTAAAATCAGCAACCTAAGAAAGATTTTTTTAAAAAAACAGCCCAAATGCCGCATTTAAACTCCTATCTTCCACCCAAATAGCTTTTTTTTATTTTAAATTTTTTATTCTTCTGAAAAATAACTCACGTAATATCGACGAGAAAGATTTATATAATTATTTAATATATTTTCTGCTTATACGTTATTTTATAGATACAATTTATTTAAATAAACAGTATTAATTACATTTACCAGCCTGAATGTTCGAGAAATTTCGTAGAAAATATGCTTTCTCCGACATTCAGGCCGGTAAATGTAAATTAATATTGTTTAGTTAAAAATAGAGCATTTACTTAAATAAATTGTATCGATAAAAATAACGTATAAACAGAAAATATATTAAATAATTGTCGGACTTAATTCATTTCATTATATGTTGTCATTGTTTACGTTTCGTGAGCAATATGATCGATCGAGAAAAATCTTCGAAGATTGTGTGTTTATAAACAGTAATTTGGACTTTGCTAACCAGATGTTTCTTTGGGACTGAATGGTTAACAGCACATAAGATTAAATGATGGTTTCTGTATAGGAATACAGGTTCGATTCCTATGGGAGAACGCATATTTTCTTTGAAAATATATTATATAATTCTTTATTAAAAACCTGAGAACGAGATATTTTAAATGTGACGTCATACCGGCGACATTTCTGGTCAGCCATTCCAGGGTAATCATTATTTTCACTGTCCTCATCACAATCCACGAACTGTCTTCAATAACTACCCGATTCACTGTTAAAGTGAAACGACTTGTCAGGTACCCCATCAGATGTTAAGTGGTTAATTCTAAGACTACTCTCGTATTCAGAAGAGAAAAAGGAGTCTTATAAGACATTGCAGCATCTCAATTTGTAATTTCGCAATCGTGAATTTACTTAAATATCAGGAATCCCACTTTAAATAATGCCAAAACAATGTCAGACACGACTGTTGATTAAATACAAAAAAAAAAAAAATCTCACCTGATATGCACACATAATTAGGTGTCATATTTCGTGTATATGTTTTCTTAATATCTTTGTCGAGTGATCAGTATTCACGATCGCAACAAAGAGAAGAAAATGTGCCGACCTTAGCCTCGGGGTTCGTTGACTTTATAAATATTAAGTTGTCTGCTTTTAGCCTGCTTTTACTCTCGACCGAAAATTGACATTGATAACTCTTGTGGCCTGAGGCGATGGAACACCTGGATTTGGCAGATATACCTTTGCGTTTTTGTTTTGCATTTTTTCTTTTTTCTTTTGCGGAGTTTTGAGTTACATCTTCCTTTCTTTCTTTCTTTCTTTCTTTCTTTCTTTCTTTCTTTCTTTCTTTCTAAAAAGCTATTTCTTTCTTTCTCATCCGTTTTTCTTTTCTTTTCTTTTCTAACGTTCTAACAATTTCTTTCTTATATATTTCTCCTTCCTTTCTTTTTAGCATATCTTTCTTTCTTTCTTTCTTTCTTTCTTTCTTTCTTTCTTTCTTTCTTAAAAATCATTTCTTTCTTTCCAACCTGTTCTTTTCTTTTTTTTTCTCACCATTTGTTTATTTGTTTCTTTCCTTCTTTCTTTCTCAAAAAATATTTCTTTCTTTCTCTTCAATTTTTCCTTTTCTTTTTCTCAGCCCTTCTTTCTTTTGTTTTATCGTCTGTCATTTCTTTCTTTCTTTCTTTCTTTCTTTCTTTTCATTTACTTTGTCTCTCGAACTTTTTCCCACTTTCGTCTTTTTCTTTCTTTACACATTTGCCTTTAATTCTTCGTTACTTCCTCACTTGTCTCTCTCTTTCTTTTTCCTTTTTTTTTCATTCCTTCCTCTTCTCTTCTGACGTGCTCACATCCTTCTTCCCTTTTCTCCCTATTTTCTAAGCTATACTCGTTCATTCACTTTTCTATCCTTTATTTCATTTCGCCTGTTTCCGTTCTTCTTATCGGAAACATCATCCTAACGCGCACGCGCATACATATATATATATATATATATATATATATATATATATATATATATATATATATATATATATATATATATATACATACATACATACATACATACATGTATATATTACTAGTTAAATTGTTTACCATCTGATCTACTATTTTTGTTCAACCAGAATTTTCCAGAGGCAATTTTACACACACACAAACAAAATGTTCTCGACATTTTTCCTAAATCTGACTAAATGACCAAACATTCGTTTTATTTTTAATTTTTTGTCGAGGTGTACATTTTAGACGAGCCGATGATTTTTTTACTCGAGCCAATGGCTTTTTAGACAAGCCGATGACTTTTTAGACAAGTCTATGAAGTTTTAATGGAGTCGAGCATTTTTATTTAAGCCGATGCCTTTTTAGTGGAGTCGATGAATTTTGGCCGAGCAGAAGACTTTTTAGTCGAGCCAATGACTTTTTAGTCGAAACATGTATTTTTAACTCGAGCCGAAGACTTCATAGCACACTCGTATATATTTTCTTTCAAACTGAAAGAAAAAGAAAATCTAAAACAAGAATATATATATATATATGTGTGTGTGTGTGTGTGTGTGTGTGTGTGTGTGTGTGTGTGTGTGTGTGTGTGTGTGTGAGTATGTGTGTATGTGTGTATTAGAGAGAGAGAGAGAGAGAGGGAGCATAGGAATCAGCACGGTATCGTGGTTGTCATGTTTCGCCTGAACTGTTTATATTTCCAAACGCTCTATCCACAACATCAAGCATTCTTTCCCAATAAATAAGTTTTAAACGCTACTCACCCTTCGCTACACAGGAATTACCATGTTTCAAAAATCGAAGCTAAAAACTTTCACGTGTCAAACGTCTTATGAATTGAGTTGCATCTTTTCTAATTGATCTCTGTAGTTCTAAATTGAAATGACAATACCTCTTGCTGTTGTGATATATATATACATACACACACACATATATATATATATATGATTTTCTTTAATAATTTCGATACTTGTTTCTCCATTCTTTAAAGAGTATTCGCATAAAATTAATGTATCGATTTTACTTACGATGTTCGCTTGTGGCAAGAATTAAGAGGCTTACGGCCGGATCAAGTTGAAACACTGGTTCCCGTACAATCACCGATGTTAAGCAACGTTGAGTCTGATCAGTACCGAGATAAGTGACTGCTTGGGAATATCAGGTGCTGCAAGATTGGATGTGCGGGTGGTGTAATGGATAATGACTCTGGATTTTTATTCAGAGAGCCGAGTTCTAATTTATGTCGTGTTCTTTACATGCACTTACGCGTAAAATCTTGGGAAAGGTATAAATCCACCTCAGGTATGGGTTAATTAGTAAGGCTTGTATCACCAACTCATTATTATCTCGAAAATAAAACAAAACAACAGCAAATCCTTGCAATCGTAAAATATTTTCTAGCTTTATATAACTAGCAAAGGGTCGATAATTCATAAAAAAAAACAAGTAAATCAGTAATCAATTTACAAACGGAATTCGTGAACTACGAAATTGTCAAATATTTTAGTCCTTAAAGTAGATTTCAGTAACAAAGGGAATGCAGTATCTGTCTATATTTCTGGGATGAGGTATTATGTACACTATTTACATTATTCGGACTATTGTCCTCATCTTTGTCACCATAGTTATTACAATGTTTCGACCGTTGTACGCTCCGGCCTTCTTCAAAAAGGCAGGAGCGTACAACGAATAGTCCGAATAATGTAAAAAGGGAATGCAAGAGATTATATTACGAGAATCATCCACGTGGAAAGAGATCAAGAATTGTAAATCTTGATATGACCCTTTGCACCGTTGTCTGCACCCACCACCCGAAGTAGGCCAAATAGTGTTTCAGTTTCTTTATTTAATTACTGTTAAACGCATTTGAAAATGAATTTAGATCAATTAAAACATCTCCAATAATTTTTTTTCAAAATTATTTTGTATTAATTAATAATATATTCTCTTGCGATGTCTGCTTTGAGTGGCGTCGATTAATGTTTCCTAACAAAATTCATCATCAGTAAGAAGAAGAGATCAGGCTGCGTGACCGATAAATCTAGAGCGCTATATTTTGCTTATTATTATAGAACAAAAAATTCTTAATGAAATATTATTTAACAGATTATATGAAAATATATTTATATAAGCATAATATTGGATGAAGACGCATGTTTGAGGAGATATCGCTTCATTTTATTTTAATAATATAATTGAGGTTTACCAGCCTGAGCAACTGAAAGTTAACTGAATAAATAAAAAATATATCACTTGATAGGGATCGAACTCGCATTACCATTACAAGGGGAAAACCAACTTTTCTATAGACGTGTTTTAGACCGCCCAGCCACGTGTCTTATAAAGACTATTTTAAGCCTTTTTACTGTTTCTTAGTACTTTGCTTAGGTTTTGGAAGGCATCTTTTGCTCTACCAATGGGCTTTCGGATTTCGGTGTCACGTTTTCCATCCCCTGTAAAGACACTTCCCACTTCTCTATTTGTTTGATCTTGATAACTCCAATTCATAATTCGCATCTTGACCATTTTTTCTTCTGGCTAATAACCACATATTCTGCCTTCTTATAGTTGATAGTCCTTTCTTCACACTCTCTACTCCACTGAAAATAAGGCGCGCACTCATCATCGTTTCTGGTCGACATGCAAACATTTCGGCATCCATTTGTCTGATAACTTCTGCATTATTCAAGTATTAATGAATTCCAAATCCACCGTTCTCTGGATTTCTCTAGTGTCGCAGTATTTTTATTTTGAATAAGATTCTTCGGTCAGACTAAATTAGGTCATGAACATTACCAAAAACTTCAAGTGTTGGCACCATAGATGGCCGGCCATACTGCGCCGCCTCTTGGGCTTCTAAAATCTTTAAGCCAGAAAAGCTAACGCACCAACTCCTTCAAAGCTGAACATGATGGACATTTGTTATCTAATTTTGCATCATACAGTTATGGATTTCTATTGGCGTTTTCTGCTGCAAGAACTATTAAGTTATCAAAATAAGATGCCGAGGAACGACTTAAACTGATTGAAAAAAGTATTCCTAGAAGACAGCCAAATGGGGTGCAAAGTACTTGGTGAAAAAATACATTCTTATCTTAAAGCACCAATAACAGAAACCATAAGAAAATAGGAAAAACTCATTACAATCTTCTTAAAAGGTGTTCTGTCAAATACGCACGGACACACGTTTATATATATATATATATATATATATATATATATATATATATATATATATATATATATGTGTCAGACGTCGACATTTTTTCATTTAACTACATTTAAGGATTTTTGTTTGTTTTTTCAAAATTTCTTCATTCTGTCGGATTTATATCCATTTACACTTGCTTATATATATATATGTGTGTGTGTGTGTGCGTGTGTGTGTATGTGAGTGTGTTTGCGTGTAGTACACTACAGTTTAAAAGTTTGAGTCAACTCTTGGTAACTTTTTTAAATGCCCCCCCCCCAGATAGTTGTTTTTACGCTAATTAAGAGAAATTTATTATACATAGTTAAAAAAAAAAGTGAGACACGATTTTTATTAGAAATGTTATTATGACAAAAATAAAAAAAAACAATTTATGATTAAATTTTGCTCTCGTCAAAATATCCTCCTTTAGCCTTTACTACTGCAGCACAAATTTTTACCATTCGTTGCAAAAGATTGTCAAAGTTTTATAAATTGATTCCATTCGTTTTTCAATGACTTTGAGAGCTCTTTTTCATTTTTCCCACTCTTCTATCAAGTTCAGCCCATGCCAATTCTGGGTGTGTATCCAAACTTTTGAACTGTAGTGTATCTATCTATCTATCTATCTATCTATCTATCTATCTATCTATCTATCTATCTATATATATATATATATATATGTGTGTGTGTGATAAAAATGTAGTTTTAGGATATGCTATATTTATGAGAAACTTTTCGATATCAGGGATAGAGCGTATGTAAATATTAAAGTGGCCATTGATGTCGACGCCCACTGGCGACAATATTGTTAATAAACAAATTAACAAACTACGAATGTACACTATCAAACCTAATAATAACAATGACCAACAAATAACAACGTAATCAATAATAAAGTTAACAAACAACACTATAAAATAGCCACAAAGCTGCATTCTGATCCACAATTATTTCCACTCAATAGCCCCTGGAATAATTTGAGACATAATCGTTAACGCCCTGACAATAGCCGTTAGAATAATACAATGGACTTCCCCACAATACATAAGCATACATAAATAGTCGTGCCAAAAACACAAAGCACACGGCCTGACGATTGCGTTTAAGCATGAAACAGACTTTCACAGTTGGGTGGTGACTTCAATGTCCAGTTATATATATATATATATATATATATATATATATATATATATAATTCATTTTACAAAATCTTCTCTCCCCGTTCTCATCTAGGGGTTAAATAGTTAGGCAGACTAGGCCTTAATTGGCAACCAGTCTAGTGTGGATAATTCTACAAAAGTCTTCACCACAATCAAATTATGCGTGGGTAGTCTGGCTGTTCAGTTCTAGGTGCTAAATTTTTAACTGACTCTCATACATCGAAGACTACCTGTGCGCAAGTGTCTTACTCTATCTATCTATCTATCTATCTATCTATCTATCTATCTATCTATCTCTGTTTCTCTCTCTCTCTCTTTCCATATATATATATATATATATATATATATATATATATATACTAGCTTAAAAATCACATTATCAAGCCACATTTGAGCTAGCCCCTGTGGATGGATCTTGATTGAGCATTCATCACAATAGGTAGGATGGTGTAGATGTGATAGGCAACAATAAACTACAGAAGAACTCAAAATTGATCGCTGCCTTTAAGCATTGCATTAATATTTAGGCCTACCTTTTAAAAGTTCAACGATAATTCTTCTGCCGCCACTTAATTTAAAGGCAATTTGATGTACGTACCTCCTTACACTTCCGTACAATTATTTTTATCTCATTGGTAACTTTCACTGGATTTCGCAATTAATTTTGATTATTCCCAAATTTATTTCCAAATTATAAAAAAAAAATTATTTCCAAATTATAAAAAAAAAAAAAAATTCGTCGCAAAAATTCTCATAAATAAATCGACAAAAATAATCGCAGTTATGAAAATTTGGGAATCCAAAATTTCAGATTTGTGGGTCTGGATCCGAGCCGAAATGTTTTTAATTTATTCACAAAGCCGGCCTGATTGCAAAAACGTATGATATGGTAGTAAAGTTCAAAAAGTGCGACAGAGTGAGACACTGACATTCACATTTATTATATAGATGACAAAGTGGGGGGAAAAACGACGGGAGAGTCCATATATATATATATATAATTTGAGTAAGCAAATGACAAAATGGTAAACTTGAGTGGGTAAGCGAATGACAAAATCGGTATTGACGCGTTTCATTCCGAGAAGGAACTTTTTCAGACTAATACTCCTTTTATTGATGGAGGTGTTCGTCACAGGTTTACATCGGAATCTCAAAGACACAGAAACACTGAAAATGTTGGAACGCTGAAATGTTCAAATTTTTTTAAAATTCAGCCTTTCAACACTTTGCGTGACGCGTTTCGTCTTTTAGGACTTCTTCGGAATAATGTTTTTCTTAACGTAATTTTATAACCCTATGGAGGAGAGGGGGAGGGTATGAAGACGTTGATTATAATGATGCGCTGGTTGGGAACGGTGAAAGTTTTGAAAGGCTGAATTTAAAAAGAAAATTAAACATTTGAGCGTTCCAATATTTTCAGTGTTTCTGTATATTTGAGATTCCAATGTAAACTTGTAACGAACACCTCCATCAATAAAATCAGTATTAGTCTGAAGAAGTTCCTTCTCGGAATGAAACGCGTCAATACCGATTTTATCATTCGCTTACCCACTCAAGTTTAACCTTTTTGTCATATATATATATATATATATATATATATATATATATATATATATATATATATATATATATATGGACTTTCAATCGTTTTCGACGGATCAGTGTCAAGCAACAGCCAGACACTCCACATATGACTAGATTATAGTGGTGAAGGCGTTTTGCAAACCAACTACACCTTTTAAAGAGCCGAATACAGAGACCTGGTGCATCCTCTGCAGGTTTTGAATTTAGATTTGTTCTTCTAGACTAGTTGCCATCAAGGCTATAGGGGTGCATTCTGTGTGTTCTATAGTCCCAGGGAGAAGAGGATTCAACTTATCCCAAGGGTATTCGACTGGAATTCGAACGTCTCCGATTGCTAAATCCGAGCCACTATCCTTTACTCCACTGTACCTTATATATATATATATATATATATATATATATATATATATATATAACTAGCTAGCTAGCTAGATAGATAGATAGATATTGTCATCTACACACACATCAGTGTTGCTAGACATCCGGTTGCCTCTAGCTAGGATCGAAACCTGGCTGAACTGGCGCACGGCAGGGATGAAGGTGAATTTAAGCGTGTTTATTTTTATTTTTTTTTTTTTAGATAAACACACAGTGACTGAGAGAACTCGATTTGCTTTACCGAAGAATCTTGCATTATTAGCAGTAATAGTCGTTCTTTACAAACTCACACTTCCTCCCCAGAGAGCTCAACCGAAATAACAGACTGTTTCACTGTATCACAGCTCATCAATGTGGCTAGACGTCCGGTTGCCTCTAGCTAGAATGGAAACCATATATATATTTATGTATGTATGTATGTGTGTGTATTTATATCATATCTTTCATATTACTATTAAATTACTACATATATATATATATATATATATATATATATATATATATATATATATATATATATATATATATATGATCCTTGCATGTATGTATATATATTTTTATAGATATACATTTGTATGTAAAGTCATTATTTAATCGTACGATTTAAACGTACGTACGATTTTTGGAACCTTACAATCTACAACTGAAATGTCAAGAGTCAATTGTAATCTATCCTCCTTACTCTTATAGTTTTCATTTCCTACCACCTCCTATCACATACTTCATTCATCGTATCGATTTTAACAGTAACCTTCTCTCGAACACTGTATTGGATGAAATTATCCTTATAAATTTCACTTCATAGCACCGTCTTTTCAATTTAATTCTCTACCTTGAGTGGCGCTCGAGTATTGTAAAGGATGTTCCAATAACTTGGACCGATTTTGAATGTGTATTAAGTTTAAGCGTCTAATGATTTTTTTTTTCTTTTTCTTTCAGATTTAACAACTTAAGTGTTTGGCAATTTCAACCTTTCCAGATTAACAATCAAGCAACGTGTTAAAGTTTCAAGAGCGCAATAGGAAAAATTGTTTGTAATTTCAAACAAACTGGGTCGGTGACAGATTTGAAAACACCATTGCGCGCTCGTTTAGGCCGTTCAGCTGAAAACATTGCTGCAGTGCACGAGAATGTGACCGAAAATCCAGACCCCTCTATTCGTCAACGGGTGCAGCAATTGAACCTCTCCCCAACAACGTTACATCATCTCCAATTGCATTCTCGATTGGTCGATTATGTTGACCAAAAATGCATTTCTGTTTGCACGTCCTTTTCGTAATAGGCTTTGATAACTTTAAGACGATTGTTAATCTTTCCATGGTTGAAACTGCCAAAGACTTAATTTGTTAAATTAAATCTGAAAGAAAAAGAAAAAAAATCATTAGACGCTTAAACTTAATTCACATTTAAAATCGGCCCAAGTTATTGGAACACCCATTATTTGTTGAACGTTAGCATAATATATATATGTCTTTCTTGAATTGGCAGTGAAGAAGACATTCGGATTACTAACACAAAAACAGAGAATGTCTCATATCGAGAATATTTAACATTGAAAAACATAAGGAAAAAAATTAATTATTTTTAATAATATGTGGAAATCTCCGCCTTTTACCTGAAGACGGGCGCGAGACCAGAAATACGTGTAGTAAAATTATGGAAAATAAAACATAATATTTAAAAAAAAAATCCACATTACAACCAAAATGTTTGCGGCACCTCTCTTCTCTTCTTTTAATATACACACTTTTTTCTCTCGTTGGAACCACTATAACCTCTTTCTTTTATATATATATATATATATATATATATATATATATATATATATATATATATATATATATATAGAGAGAGAGAGAGAGAGAGAGAGAGAGAGACTCCAATATTGAGCTTTTTTATGTGCTTCCATGTAATGTGAATCTTCATCACTGACTTCAGTGAGAATGAAAAAGTAGTGAGATGAATAGCGAATATTACGAGAATCATGACGAAAGATATCGGTGAAGAGTATATATATATATATATATATATATACGCGCACACACACACACATACACACACACACACATACACACATATATATATATATGTGTGTGTGTGTGTGCTGTGACAAAAGGAAATGACAATATGGGAGTAGAGGAAAGAAAACAGGAGGAAAAAATATATATGGGAGGTGTGAAGTTGAAAGTAAAGAAGCCAATATGAAAGAAATATGACATAGAAGAGTCACTTGGACAGGTGGGATCAAATAGAAAAACGTCGTCTGTACGTTCATCTTCATCACTGACGTTCGATTTCCATCTTTTGATTAAACTTCTTCACCGTTGGACACAAATGCCGCCATTGCAATGATCACACTGATCTGTCGAAGACTATGCTGTCGAACATCAAAAATATTCATGCGAATAGATTGGCCGATGCCGAATAAACACCCGACGTTTTTCATACAGACTTGGGAATTGGCTGTGGCATTAATTCCAACAATAAAACAAAAGAAAGAAAGAGATAGAAAAAAAGATAAAGATTGATTCAATGTGTTAGCGAGTAAATGAGTCAGAAGGAGAGAAAAGTTTAGAGAGAAAAAGAGAGAGAGAGAGTAAAAATTGCATGGAATTTCTAAACTGAGATCAGAATCAAAGACAAGAATAGAAAGAAAGAAAAGAAAAATGAATGAGAAGAAATACAATACACAGAAGGAAAGAAGGAAAGGAGAAGTTTTAAAAATAGCAACAGAAAAACAGCAAAGAAACACAGAAAGAGTGGAAAGAGAGAAATAAAAAAAGAGCAAACGAAAGAAAGAATGAACAAAAAAAATGATAGAAAGAGAAGTATGAAAGATCGAAACAATAAAAAAACGACAGAGAAAAGATGGAAAGGTAGAGAGTATAACCCAGAGAGGGAGAGAGAAAAAAAAGGAAAGCAATAAGAATGGGGAAGAGAGAGACTAAAATATAGCAAGATAAAAAAAGGAAACGTGAACGAGAAAAAAGATGAAATCTAGGGACATCGGAAAATGGAGGAAAAGAAAGAAAAAGAAAGAATAGATAAGGGAGAAATCATGGAAAGGAGAGATACAGGGTGGAAGATAACGTAGAAGAAATAGAGAGTGGAAGAATCAAATCAAGTGAAAACAAATAAACAAAACCTAATTTTTTTTTTAGAAGCGGTCATTGAGTGCATCTTCAAAACAACAGACTCGCACTGAATCACCCCGGCCATTTTGTTAGTTACGCTTATAAGGGCTTCATGGAGCACTGGCTACGATTCAAGCCAGCCTTTTGAATCAGTATTGTATCAGAAAAGACGAGCTTAAACACACACACACACACACACACACACACACATGCACATACACATACACACACATACATATATACTCACAGAATGTACGAAAGAAAACTAATGAAAAATATACATGATAAACAAATATTGGTTGTAAAAGTGAATAAATATGCAAAATACATACATTCGTACAGACATATATTCTCTCTGTTTAGACAGATAGACGCACACAAACACATACATCCACGTATATATATATATATATATATATATATATATATATATATATATATATAATTCAACGGAAGACGTACATGTATGTATTGCATGTCATGTTCTACACAATATAGCGATAAATTTGGCGTTAATAGTTTTTTTTTTATTCTAAAATCTTTTATATCTCTGTATATGAATACAAAGAGACAAGATGAAAAATTATACTTAGCCGACCCGTTTCGTCTTCTGAGGAATTTTATCAAGGCAATCAGAGGACGAAACGCGTCGGCTAAGTATATTTTTTTTTTTATCTTCCTGTCTCTTTTTATTCATTTTGTCTCTTCTACAGATGCGCTCTATCTGAGAATATTTACACATCTGTATACAGAGGAACCTCGGTTCTCGAACAAATCGGTTTTCGAACAGAAAATTCCATTTGAATATGCCTCGGTTATCGAACAAAATTTCGGTTCTCGAACAACATTACCGAACCGAGTTAACCCGAACGTGTTCTATATATTCGTGTGTTGTGGAGTGATTTTCTTTTCCAATTTTATTGTACTGTGACTTTTTTCTCTACATTGATTCCTATTGGAAAAATCATTTCGGTTTACGAACGTTTCGAGGTACGAACGGCCTTCAGAAACGAATTAAATTCGTGAACCGAGGTTCCACTGTATATGTTTATTTAACGCATGCAAATATTACCATTTACATTATATGAGGGAACACCCGAAAATAATTCTATGTATTTCTATAGAAACTACAGTAGATGCCGGGGTAAACACTAAAACTATTGGAAGAGCAAGTTTTCGTCCACAAACCCAAATTGTTTCACATAGTCACCACCATTGGATGTGCATTTTTGCCAGCAATGAACAAGTATTCCGCCTAACCGTGATCATATCTACTATTTGGTCTCTGTAAAAGTTCAGTTCGTGTCGATGAATGTTAATGTGCGCATTTTTCCATATGGAGAAATTCAGTGAGAAACATCAATTTCGAACGCACTTTCATGTCATACGCCATTTTGCCAGCTGCCATTTGTAATAAAACAAAAAATGACGTGTCGTAAGTTGGACTGTTCAACCTCTACTATCCTAACACAATATCCGTTTTTGGCATCGTAGGCCAACATAATAAAATAAGCCGCATTATTATCGTGGCGAGCTTCTTACATGGATTAATACAATAAGCATTGTCAAGCATATACATTGATTTCTATACCTCACCGATCACGTGTGTAATCTTCTAATACCGAGTTGGACACCATTTTGTCTTTCAGACAACCTCAAGTCTACTTCAACAATGTTCTGGAAGCACCCTTTTAGAATTTGGATTCATGCTGCTATTACGGCATTCTTCAATTCATTTAGATGAGTTGGATGAGCACTCAATATTCGAATGATCCTTTCCACCAAATCCCAAAGTTTCTCCATGTGTTTTGAGATCCGCTGACTATGGAGGCCACTTCAACGCAAAAAAAAAAAACAAAAAAACACCCATTGCTGTATTCCATGAACCAATCTTCCACTATTTCTAAATTGTGATTATCCGGCTGGAAATGACCGCCAAAGAATGGGTGCCCACACTGTTAGCTCACCGCAATACATTTGAGCACAGTCTTGATTTTAAAAATCCCAGTCTGATCTGGACAGAACAGAATTCACTTAAAAGAAAATGCATTGAGAGTGCGTTAATCATACACTCCTCAACTGTGATTCTAAGCCCAGGGCCATTCGTTATTTCACCGATCACCTCAAAAACAATAAGAGCACATTACAGTGGAATACAAGACAAAGAACACCATTGGAAAATTCGTAAACTTAAGGAATCAGCACATATGCTAGGCCACAAAAATCTCCTGAGCCGACCAAGCATAGAAATGCATACAATATAGGAACCAGTAATAAGCGCCAGAGAAAAGCGATAATAACAGCAAAAATTACAATATGAGCTCTGGTAAAAAACATGCAAAGATAACAGCAAACATTGCAATATGAGCACTGGTAAAAAATGGTTGTTGAAGACATTAGGTTTATAATACCCAGAAATTCATACACAAATGTCCTCATGGATAAACGCGTTAGTTACATCCAGTGACAGGACCCAAAGAGTGTGAGTTCAATACCCGGTTAAGGCAGTGGAGACTTTCAGAGGGAAATTAACAGGAGATAACTGATAACTGACATCCATTAAACATGACACGTAGAACTAGAACAGCCTACTCCAGTGAACGGAATAAAGTGTTCAGTTGGACATTCCAACCACCTGAAGAAGACCGGAGCGTACAATTTTTATTTTTTCAAATATGGCGACAAAGATGAGGACAATAGTCCGAACAATGTAAATAGTGTACATAATACCTCATCTCAGAAATAGAGACAGGTATACAAGTTGTCGGAGAGAAGAACAGAGACTTACTTGGAGTCGGCTGGCTTTAAATTCCATAAACCCCAACAGCTCTAATATGTATATATATATATGTATATATGTGTATATGTGCGTATGTGCATATGTATTGTGAATATGTGCGTGTATGCAGGTTGTGCATGTGTAAGCAAACAAACCAAGCATCTAGGTGCAACTCATAATATCAGAAAAGCAACACACATCAAAAACTATATATAGATAAAAAAGAGGAAAAAGGGCTCTTATACACACGGGTGTATACGAGTATATATAAATACTGATATGTATTTATATTTTTATACAGGTATGCATATATATTGGGTTGAGGGATAATTCTTAGAGTAATCTAATCTAATATTTTTATTTTTTCAAATTTATTTTAAATAAAAAAATTCAACAAGTTAATCAGTAATATACTTTTCATTGTTGTATACGACTTCCTTCCCATCGTTCAATAAGTTTTTCAGTGCTACGGCGATAGAAATCTGCCGGCTTTAACTCAAAGAATTTGACCAATCAAGCCCTCAATTCTACGTCATTATTTAACGATACACCATGCAATGCGATCGAAAGAGATGAAAATTTGACGGCACCAAATCTGGAGAGTGTGGAAGATGAGGGAGCACCTCTTATTTGAGTTCTTGAATCGCGGCTTTCATCATTTTGGCGATGTGAGAACGGCCGTTGTCGTGTTGCAGAAGAACGCCATTTCGCTTATTCGAATTTTTTTGCTGAATTGCTTCGTTGAGTCGGTGCAGTTATTGAACGTAGAACTCCACATTCAGTGATTGCTTGCTCTCAGGCAGTTGGCAATGAATTATGCCTTCCCAGTTCCACCATACACAAAACAGGCTCTTTCAAAGACGACGGTCTTGTTTTGCTCGCGGTGTCGCTTGTTTTCTGGAGGTTAAGCCATTCTTTTCACTGCTTCATATTGACGCGAAGGCACCATTTTTTTTATCGCCAGTGACAATGCCGTAAAGAAAACGCTGTTTGTAACGATGTGTTGAGCGATGTCGAGCGATCAAACAGGCAGCGATTATAGGGCGTTGATTTTTGTTGTTTTCGCTCAAAGTATGTGGCACTTAAGTATCTGAACCTTCCCCATTGAGTGAAGCTGATTCACCACAGGTTTTTATCATAATCCATCTGCTCCAGCATTTCTGGTCGTTTGACGTGAGTTTTTACGAAGAAGCTGATTCAATCACTCTCCATCAAACTCAATTGGTCGACTGGTGTGTGATCCGTCCCCGAGGTCAAAATTTCCCATTTCTGAAACGCGGAAACCAACGGCGGGCGGTACTTTGAGGCATTGTTCCTTCTTCATACACAACACAGCACAAATCTTACGAGAAGCTTCGGCGGCAAAGCAAATGGTGTCGAAAATGCCCAGTTTTGTCCACTTGATATTCCATTTTAATGATCTGAAAATACACAAAAATCAATAAAATGAAAAAATCAAAATCATGTAAAGATTCTCTTTCAAATAACATAAAACATTTTGCCAAGGCGTATTATAATTTGAAAAAAAAAACGCTCATGACTTATTACTCAACACAATATATATATATATATATATATATATATATATATATATATATATATATATATATATATATGGGTAAAAATCTGTGGGTAAAAGTAATCCAAGTGAATCCTAATAATATAAAATATTAAAACTGATCCACAAAAGTGTTCAATGTATTTATTACAGAGCATATAAATTAATTACATATAAATGAAATTCAATTGCACACCATTTAGATGGCCATTTTGCTCCTCAAGAAATTTCCTGGAGCTTGTCAATGCCAAAGCTTTTAATAAAAATGAATCGTAACGTTTTTTTTTTTTTTTTTTTTTTTTTTAATTAAGTGATAGGAAAAAGAGAAAAAAAAACTGCAGATGAAGGAAAAGGCATTTAAGAGAGAAATAGAAAAAAGGGGGAAGGAAAAACCAAAGTAGTGAGGGGGATACAAGAAAGAGGGTGGAAACAGGATGACGAGATATACATACTAGTCTAGACAGAAGTTAAAAATGGTTGAATCGCTTTTCGAACAAACTTAATTACGATGCTGCTATTGACCTATATTTAAAATGTTAACTCTTGACCTATATTTAAAATGTTAACTTTTGTTCAAATAGGAAAAATTTCTCGGGGAGCGAAATGGCCATCTAAATGGTGTACAATTGAAATTCATTTATATGTAATATATATATATATATATATATATATATATATATATATATATATATATATATATAAAAGAATTAATGCAAGTAAAGGTTTATCATTTAGCTGATTTAAATTG